GGGCACGCATGCGCACTAGCGACTGCCAGCTGCCTGAGCTGACTTTGCATGCAGCCGACCCCATGGCTGCTCAAGCAAGTAAGCTGAGCTGGCTACTCGAGGACAAGCCTGAAACTAAAAAGACCTGGTGTAGTCAACGGCAGCCTGAAAAGAGACACGTTTGTTGCTGCCGAACTTAAAACATTTCTCCTGGCCCACGGCAGCACGATCAGGCCACGCGCGCCAGCCCCCCTTTGAGGCGCTGGGGCTGACCTTCCCCTTGCCGACGTGCACTGACCCATGCTTTGGCATTTCGGGGAAGTCTGAATTCTTCGGAGCTTTCTTCGCAACTTGTTTAGCAGACGCGTGTGCTGGACTGGCAGCCGCGGGACGCTTCTTGGCGCTGGGAGTGTCGGCTGCTTCCATGGCAGCTTTCTTCTCGTTCCTCTCAGCCTTAGCTGTGGCCTTGGCCCTCTGGACCAACTGCTCGCGCTCGGCCTCGAGCTTGCTGGCTACGGCAGTCGCAGCGACTTCATCGCTGCAAGCCGCGTCCGCTAGCATCGGGGCCTTTGCGACCTTCGCGTGCTTGTCTAGGTCGCCTGAAAGAACGGCAAGCGCTGACGGCGGCTCTTGGCTGTCAGGTGGGCCGCCCATGGCGGCCTCCTCTTGGGCCTTGCTCGGGGCTGGGAGGGGCCTCATTGGAGTCACCCAGGCAGGCTCCATGCACGGAGGGCGATCAGCGTCCTGCACGGGCAAAGCAGCGGGAACTTCTACTGTGCTCGGCATCATAGGAGGCAGCCCAGGCTGTTGAAGTGGTGTGACGCCTCCAGGAGAAGAGCCAGCGGCATAAGCGCCAGCGCCAGTGTACTTGATGTTCACCTGCCCCATTCCCGATCCATTGGCGAAGCCAGCCATGCCCAGCTGAAAAGCTTGCTGTTGGTTCAAGCCCATAGCAGACGCAGCAGCCATGAAGTTCATCACGTTGACCTGCTGCTGCTGCGGCGTGCCGAAGCTCAGCGCGTTCGGTAAAGCCGCAGGAGCAGATTTGGGAACAGATCTGGGAACGGAGTCCCTGACGGTCACGTTCGTCGACCGACATGATACTTTCTTGCGAACGATGAGAAACATCGGACTGTCGAACGTCACTGGAGGGTCCTCGTCCGTGTACATGGACTTCTGGATCTGCACTGGAAGCTCCGAGGGCTTGTCACTCAACGAACGAAGAACTGGCAAGCTATCCACTCCAGGTGGTGGACTGCTGAAGTAGCTCGGGAAGCGATGGACCATGTTGTACATCTTGACGGGGCCTTGCTCGCTCCCCATTGCAGCGGCACACGCAGCCACCATGTCCGCACATGCTAGGGGGCTCGGCTGCACCATGCCTCCTTTCATCAGCCTGGTGGCAATCCGCATTGCTTTGGAGGCGTCGTCGAATGGCTTACTCTGGTCATTGATGACTGCCCAGTCGGACGCGGTGAGGTAGTTGAGAATAGAGTCACGCTTGGCGAAGGACTGCTTCTCCGTGGGGAGGAGACGGCTGGCCGTCGAGCTTCTCAGTAGCTTCTCGTTGATGCAAGTGCTGATCGTTTTCTTTTGATCGGTGCTGAAGGACGACTGACCAAGGGCCTTCAGAAGAGCCCCAGCGCTCTCGCTGAACACTGGCTGCGAAATCGACGTAATCATTGCACAGATGCTGGAAGCCAGTGAGGCTCGAATCTGTTCCAAGGCGGCACCATCAACACCAACGGCCTCGTTGTCAGCCAGGACGCTGACGCTTCCCTGTATCTCTGTCAGGCAACTTGAAATGGTAGCCATCTCTTGCAGGTGGAAGCGTAAAGGACTGCAGCGCGCGAGGAGATCTCCTTTGACAACGTCGCAAAACAAATGCTTGAACCAAAGCTGGCTACGGAGAGAAGTGGCTGACAAGAGTAGAAATCTCTCCAACTCGGCCCTTGCCAGCATAGAGTAGCACATCAACTTGGACGGCACGCGCTGCACAGGGCAGCCGAAACTGAACTGAGACTGAAAATCACCATTCGAAGAGAATTTTCAATTTTGAAAATTTCCTTCGAGGACCTCCGGAGAGAATTTTCAATTCTGAAAATTCTCTTCGATCCGAATCAAACGGAATTTTCAGAATTGAAAATTCTCTCCGGAGGTCTTCGAAGGAAATTTTCAAAATTGAAAATTCTCTTCGAAACGTCTCCGACGCTTCCCGCTGCGGTTCCAAGCCGAAATGAGGTCAAGGAGGCCAGATGGAGAGCTCGTGAGATACTGATGGAGGCACACATGCAGCGCCGACAGACCAAAGATCTCAGACCTGGGGGCTCAGGATTCAGGGCTACGCCTGTGCTCTCGAGTACGCACTGCTTTGCCGATTGTCTACGATCTCAAAAAAAACTCAGCTCCACTACTCTCCTGACCTCCCACTGTCCATACTTTCTCACCGATTTCCTGCAACCTCGCTGACGCTAGCAAGGACCCTTATTCAAGCTATCCGCATCCTCTTCCCTATCCTTCCTCTTGTCCTCCATTTGTTTTTTTTTCAACCTCACTTGAAAAACGCGCGTGCTGTTCCTCCTCATATTCCTCCCCCTCCTTCTCCTCTTACCTTCTATCTTTCTCATCCTCCTCATCCTACTCCTCCTCCTTCTCCTCCACATGATCTATTCCTACTCATATTCATCTTCCTCCTTCTCTTCCCTATCTTCCTCATCCTCCTCCTCCTTCTCCTCCTGGTCTCCATGCCCGCTCTGCTATGGACTGTGACGCAGAAGTTGGTAGTCAGACGAAGGCTGCGATGCTGATGGATGTGGATGCGATGATCATGATTATGTTTTGTCTTTGCTGGCTAAGCGCAGGGCGCATATCTAGGTGCAATGGCTATGTGTCGCAGCGCGCACTCCCCGTGCACTTGCAAGAGATCGCTGTGGTGGCCTACAGCGAAGAAGCCAATGCATAGCGTCGCGACCTAAACACAGGTCAGTTGCGATCTAAAGCTACTTGCGCCTGCGCTTTGCCAAATTCGCCGAGCCTGCGCTCGGGCCCGCACTCCCTGAGCTGCCACTAGAAGGACGGCTCCCTGAGCTGACGCGAGATGGACCGTCTGCGAGGGACCTCAGTGCCTCCTCGGAGTCGCCATCGGCAACGACAGGGCGCAGGTATGCACGAGTGTCAGGTTTCTCGGTGGCGATGGCTTTCATGAACACCCACTCGAGCACTTCTGGCGTTGGCTGCACAAGTAGCCTCGAAGGGGTCACATTCAGGGGCATGCTCGGTTTGACGGCATCGACCTCGAAGTCATACACGCGGAACGCAGGCATCTCCACGTCCACCAACGGGTTGACCCCTTGCTGCCCTTCAGCAAGGGCCCTGAGGGCCATCTTCTGAATGTTCTGGCGGTACGCCGTCAGCTCTGCGGCGGAAACGTGAGACTCATCATGACCAAGTGCGTCAGTCGACGCCGCCTTCTGGAGGTCCAGGAGTTCGCTGATCACCTTCGAGGCCACCACCGAATACGCCCTGGAACCATGAAGCCACTGAAAGAAGTCCTTGTCGCCTCTGCAGAGAGCGACGAACTCAACCCCTCCCACGTTGACTACCTCTGCCCCGCGCCAGCTGGCGTTGCCAGGAATCGGGCTGGTGATCGTCAAGGTGCGAGTGCTCTCGATAGCCGTACGATTCTTGATCGCATTGATGACATCATCGATTGCCGCCGACTTGGCCTTGGCAGCAGTCATCTCAGCGAGAGTTGGCATACTGGAGGCGCGGGCACAAGGGGACGGTATATGTCGAGGCAACTTGAGGTTGCACGAGCTAAAACGGCTGCGGCTGAAGATGGAGATGTGGCTTGCGATGGTGCAAGCGACTGCAATGATGATTGTGATTGGACACAAGCACAACTAGACTCGCAACCGAACGCATGCTAACGATGACGACGCTGACGACGCAGACGACGACCTGCGAGATGGCGACAGCAGCAGTGTTACCGATCAATGGCAGGGAGGGAAGGAAGGGCACGCGCGGGCGCAAGCACGGCGCGCCTTCGCTGTGTAGAAGCCCTCGACGTAAAGACGGGCGGCGGCAGAGGGCGGGGGGTCTGTCTCTTGTGGCTGTTGCTGCTGCTGCTGCTGCTCCTCCTCCTATTCCTCTTCGTGCTCCTCCTCCGCCTCTCCTCTCTTTCTCTTCCTCGTCCTCTTCCTCCTCCTCCTCATCCCATCCCATCCTCCTCATCCCATCCTCCTCCTACGTCTGATCCTGCTCCTGCTGCTCCCCCCTCTCATGCTCCTCAATCTCCTTCCTCCTCCTCGACGCTCCTTCCTCTTCCTCCTCCTGCTCCTCCTCCTCGCCGCTCCTTCTCTTCGACGTTTTTGTCGCGGTCCTGAGCCACTGTATTACCACATTGGCTGAAACAAATTCAAGGACGACGGTTGAGGCTGCTCGAACGCCCTCCCTCGACCACGGTTCCAGAGGGGCCTCCATGCAGGGGGCCTCCAGAGGGCCTCCAGGGGGAAGGAGGGGGCGGATGAGAAGGAAGAGGCGGAGGGCGAGGAAGAGGAGGAAGAGGAGGAGGAAGAGGAGAAGGAGGAGGAGAAGGAGGAGGAGGAGGAGGAAGAGGAGTGGCTTGGCGACACTCGCATTGCATAAGATTAATCATCAATTGGCCAGCTCAGAGCACAGGCCGAGGTCCAATGAACATCGCAACGACATGCGGCACTGCATCGAGACATGCTGACGCGAGTGCGCTTCACCCCATCGCACATGGCAGCATTAGCTTGACCAAACACATCCAAGCTTCTCAAAGCTTGCTGGGACAAACCACGGGCGCCTGTTCGCAGGCGAGGCTGGCGAGAAAAGAAGAAAAGCTGGCGAGATAAGCGACACGTGACCAACTGCCCTCCCCCTCCCTACTGGCATCTCCTCGACTCCATCCTGGTACTCATCCTCCGCCGTCCTAAGATCAATCATTGCCGTGGCCTCTTCTTAGGCTGCCACGGGCAACAAAGGAGCTCTGCATTGGCCTTTAGATCGACAGTGTTTGTCATGACAGGCAAGTAAAAATTGAAGCCGTGAGAATGCAGCAGGCCTTCTACTGATAGCTGAGTGGTCTCGCACACGCCTACATTCTCAATGATCATGTTTGCCTTCTGGCCCTCCACAGGCTCGGCGACGGCCCAGAAGGGCGGAACGATTGCCTTTGCAGTCGACTTGGGACCTCGGAGGACGACGTGGGATAGCAGGCTGAACGCGATGGGGGGCCTCTCCACCATCTTGCCGAGATCGAGCCCCTTAGTGCAAGGCGTATCTCCATCGCGATCCTCGATCTTCGTCGTCGTCGGCACGAAGACAAGGTCGCCCTTTTTCACTGCCTCTGTAGTCCTGACCGAGAAGGGGTTGGCATAGATCTTGATCTTATCGTATGACGAGTTCTGTATCGACAGGCGCGCCAGGCACACTAGGATGGAGCCCTTGGTGTGGCTGGCAATCCACTCCCTGGATGCCTCAGGCGAGTGCAAGCTGGAATCGATCTCGTACTGGATCTTGGCAGTGGTGGCCGCCCAGTCGGCTTTGAGTTTCTCAAGGTCCAGCTGCAAGGGTTGGCCATTCTCAAAGACGCCCGTCGGCATCAGCGTGGCGCCGTCTGCGGTGAGCTGCTCAAGCGTGTAGTAGGTGCACTGGTCCTTGCTGTCCTTGCTGGCGCCGCTGCTCCTCCTCTTCACGATGCAGCCCTCGGTAAAGCCGAGCCTCTGCATCTGGAACGCAGCGTCCTTCAGCTGCGCCATGGACTGCGTCGTCAAGCTGGCGGCCGCGGACTGTGGCTCCTCCTCCTGCTGCTCTGCTAGGTCGCCGCTGCTCCTGGTAGCAACCACCTGACGAAAGAAAGAAGTGGGGGGAGAAAGAGATCGGATTCTGTTGATGGTATCTGTTATCGTGGTTGTTTTTGTTGGTTTGAATTGGTGTCTAAACTGGCTTTCGGGGGTGGTGACCCCCCACCTGACGCGGCCTCTTCCCGAGGATCCTCTTGTTGGGAAGCCAAGGGTTGTCCAAGGGCGTGCCGACGTAGGCGGACAATTGGTCAACAAATGGTTGGCCTGCGTGCTCCAGCGACTCGTGCTCCTTGGCTTGCCTGCTCTGCTTGCCCTTCCTCAGGATGTGGTTGACGATGGCAGTGTCGTGCAGCGCAAGCATCTCCATGCATTTGGCTCTTGGGACATTATGCTCAGCCAGCATATCCCTCGCCAAATCCATCATGCCTTCGGCTTGGAGCACAGCAGCTTGGGACCCCTTGGCAACGAGTTTGTTGAGGTCGGACTCCTTCGCCAAGGAGCACTTGTTGTCGACCATCTGGATGGTCAAAAATGCGCAGCCCTGGACGCAGTCCACCACGCCCCCGTGCCTTGCGCTGGCGAGGACTTAGAGGGGGAGTGGTGGATGCATCCAAGTGCGTGCACATGTTAACCATCGCCGAACCTTCTCCAGAGGGCTGAGCGCATTCGAGAGGAACGCCGCACCGCGCACACGGTGAAGCTGCAGTACCCCATGCCACTTGAGGCTCGCGAGCTTCTCGTGGAACGCGCCTCCGATGTAACCGAAGTTCGCGGTGGCGGTCTTCGGGGCCTTCACCACCGCATTCTTCATGTCTCTCAGCTCGGTCAGCTGATCGGTGGTGGTCATCTTGGCAAACTTGGCCAGGCTTACGGCCCAGCCGCTCCAGAAAGGATGGTTGCTGACAGCCTCGCTCTCAGCGTAACTCCACGCATCCTGCTCGGATTTCTTCGCGCCGATGGCGAGGGCGTAGTTGCTGTGCATCGTCAGCAGACCCTCCAACTCAGACTGATCTTGCTCCCCTCGCCAATTCAGTGCCTTTTGCCCCAGCGGCACTAAGGAAGGCCATCGCTCCACGACTTCCTCGGCAACGATCGTCCAGGTCAGGCCTTGCTCAAGCGCCTTCCTGAGGCTGGGATGCTTGCCTCCAAGGTCGGAAGGGTCAAGCCTCCCAGTGGGGGCAAGCTTCTGGTTGGCGCACTCCATCCTTGCGCTTACCCCGCGGAGGAAGCAATTGTTGTGGCTGCTTCCGAACGATACTGCGAAGATACTCTCAAACTCAGGCATCCCCTGCGTCGAAGCAATGCGATTGTTGAAGGCCAGCAGCTCCTCAGTGCGCGCGGTGCCAGGCTTCGCCTGGACGGCGAACGCCCCTTGGTTGGCGCGAGCCAGGCTCCAGCCAGCGCCACAGTGCTTGGCGGCGCTGTTCAAGGCGTTCTGGAAGCATACTCCAATCCCACCACGGTTGTTGGGCTCGACGCCTACGAATCGAGGCAAGATTTGCTGAGGCCAGATCAAGGAACTGTGCTCCGACAGGGTTTCCACAATCTTGTCCCATGTCTTGACTACCTCCTTGTCCTTCTCGTACGCAGCGAACGCTGCATCCACAGTGGGCGCAACTGCGTCCAACGCCGTCTGAGGGGGGCTCGCCATCAACAGGTGCCTGCAGGGGGGTCGCCGTCTGAAGGGGGCTCGCCGTCTGAAGTCGACTGGCGCCTGCAGGTGAACAGGACTCTGAAATGCAGTTCACACCTGCAGCCAAAATGGGCTACGCTGGTTCGGAGAAGGGGGATGTGAGGAGGAGGAGGAGGGATACTTCTGGTAGGGCTTCTGCTGGGCTAAACACTTAGCAGGCTTGCTAAATCCTTGGTAAACCCCTTTGCTAAAGGGTTACCCTGATTAGCTAAGCTGCTTAGCTAAGTACTTAAGCAACTTAGCTAAGACTCTGCTAAACCGTTACAACGGGCCGCCCCTGGATAGCTAAACGCATAGCAAGGCCATAGCACAAGCCGTAAGGGTTTGTGATAACCCTTAGCGAACCTAGCATCAGTAATGCAACGGCCCGTAAGACCACAAGTGATTACATGGCATAGCAATCGGTTGCAGAAGATACACAATACATAGCACAGCATTACCAGGACTTGCCATGCAAATGCTGGTGGATTGGTAACACCTTACATCCCTCTCAAGCGTTAGCAAAGCGCTGACCGCTCCAAGCCCTTTTGGTGGGATCCCAGTCCTACTGGTGGGACCCCAATCCTTCAACAACGCCGTCGAAAAATGAGTAGTCATCCCCCATTGGGGGTGGGGCTCTAAAGACCTCTCAGGGTTAGATCGACGGGGGTGGGGACGGGACAGACGTACGCGCGCCTCTCGTGTGCCTCCCCAGGGCCCGCGGCGGCAGTGTGGGGGTCCTCCTGGACCACTTCCGCGGGATCCCCGATCACCCCTTCGGCACCCTGCTCTGGGCACACCTCCCGCGCCCGAGGGGCTCCGGCGACGGCAGCCGGCGTCCTCAAGGGCCCGGAAGGCGGAGACTGTCGCGTCCCCGTCTTCAAGGGCTCCTACGTTTGAGCTTCGCGCCGCGCGGAGCGCGGGGCGCGAATCACTTCGCGCTCTCGCGCCGCCCACCAGGGGAGAAGAGGAGGATGAGAGGATGAGGAGGAATCGGAGCCGAACCGCGGGCGGGGCGCAGCCAGCAAAAGCGTCCAAGGGTGGGCCCAAGGGGCAAGGATGCAGGGGAGACCTTGGAAAATGGTTCATCCTTACTACGCGGGTTGACTGTGTCATGTCCCCGTCTTCGGCCCGCACGGGGGTCCGCCCTCGACCTGACGAGTCCGTCCGCTAAGGTGTGGGGGGGTGGCCACGCTGCGACAACAAAAGCAGCGCAGCATCGGACGCGAGGGCCCCTCACCAGGGCAGGTCCGCGTGGCCAGGGCCGGGCGCCCTTGGAGAAGGCCGAGCCTATTGCGTCCCCGTCTTCGGCCCGCGCGGGGGTCCGCTCTTGAGCTGACGAGGACTCGTCCGCCGAGCGGCACAAGACGAGAAGCGCGCCCCTTGCCAAAACCAGGGGGTCGGGAGCCCCCGGCCCGCACTCTTTGATTCTGTCCTGATCGCCCGCGGCACCCCGTACAATACTGGCGCACGACAAGGATGCAAGGGTCTCGGAAGGCCATGTCCTTCCAGGGCTCCTACGTTCTCGCTGCGCGCGGCGCGAGGCGCGAATCACACTTCTCGCTCTCGCGCCGCCCCCCAGGGGAGAAAAGAGGAGGATGAGGAGGGATCGGAGCCGAACCGCGGGCAGGGCGCGGCCAGCGGAAGCAGCCAAGGATGGGCCCCATGGGGCGAGGATGCGGGGGAGACCTTGGAGAATGGTTCGTCCTTCCTGCGCGGGCCGACTGCAGCGGCGGGGTGCGCCCGAAGCGAGCAGGGGAGGGCGGGGGGAGACGTGGGGGGGGGGGAGGGCCGCGGAACGGCAGGAGCGGGGCTCCATCCACGTCCCCACCGCCCGGGGAGCCGAGGTCCTGGGGCCCTGAAGGGTGCGGCGGATATGGAGATGCTTGAGCCCCAGGGGACCTGACGTAATGTGTCCATCTCCACAGCATGCCGAGGTTCCCGGAGAGCGGATCCTCGAGGATCGAGGGCCCAGGGAAGCCTCCGCCCTGGGAGGGAGTGAGCGCGGACTCGACACACATCCTGAGTGCCTGAGGGTGAGCCGTCCCAGCCCCAGCCAGGCCTGGACGCCACTGCCCAAGCTGAGGCGCGCACCCGCTGCACAGCCCCCCGGATGATCCCTGAGCCACGGTGAGTCGGCCCACGAGACGCAGCACGCCGCCGAGCACGAGCACGGCGACAGAGACGCATCGTGGTGTGGCCGCGCCCGCTGAAGCCGCGCCCGCAATCTTGACGCACCCACCCCAAACTCGTCTTGGTCAGTGGCGAAGGCGGTCGCCAGCGCGGTCGATACGCTGGCGGGCCGCGCACAGGACACACACACACACACTGTTTGCGTCGGCGGCCAGGCAGAGGGACTGCTCCAGCGATATGGCACTAGTGGGGCACACAAAACGCGAATTAAGCCGCAGTGCGCGGGAGGGAGAGACAGGAAGCCTGGCGCGGGCGGGCAAATGACACACACACACACACACTTTGGCGGTAGCGGCCTTTCGCGCCGCGACAAGGCGGAGAAAGCGTGCAAACAGTGCGTGCGGCCGCCGCTCTCCAGCATCACTTAGGATGCGGCCCTACCGACATCGGCCATCCTGGCGTGGTTAGCGGGGAGGGTACGGCCAGACCTATGACATAATTCGCCGGCCCAACGGGCCAGGGCGTGCTAAGATCTCCCGTACCTGGTTAACAGTATTTCTAGTTCGCGCGCGCGGGGCGGCCCCTGGGGGTCCCCGGACGAAAAGTACCCCGGCAAGGTCCCGGCAAGTCCCCGGCAAGGTCGGGCCAGAGATGCCGGAGCCCTGTTACAGGGCCCCAGGACGGGCCAAGAGGTCCCCAAGAAGCCTCCAAGACGGTCCAAGAGGGCCCCGAGACGGCCAAAGATCGCCCGAAGACGCCCAACAGGGCCCCAAGACAGCCCAAGAGGCCTCCAAGACGCCCCAAGGGCCTTCCAAGAGGCCTCCGAAGAGGGCCCCAAGAGGCCAAAATCGTTGATTTTCATTGTTTTTTTCAATGTTTTTTGCGTTCTGGCTTTTTCGGCTTCCGGACGCTCCAAGACGGCCCAAGAGGCTCCCAAGACCGCTCCAAGACGGCCCACAAGGCTCCCAAGACGGCCCCGGAACGGCCCAGGAGGGCCCCCAAGACGGCCCAAGTGCCGCCCAAGACGGACCAAGAGGCCCCAAGACGGGCCCAAGAGGGGCTCAAGAGGGGAACCGAGAACTGAAAAATCGAGCCCTCCAAGGACAAGGACAAGAACAAGGATAAGGACAAAGACAGGGACAAGGACGAGAAGAAGGACAAGGACAAGGACAAGGAGATGGAGAAGAAGAGGGAGAAGGAGAATAAGAAGGAGAAGGAGAAGGAGAAAGAAAAGGAGAATGAATACTTAGAAGGAGGAGGAAAAGGAGAAGGAGAAAGGAAAAGGAGAAAGGCGGAAAGGGAAACGAAAAGGAGAAGGAGAAGGAGAAGGAGCAGGAGAAGGAGAAGGAGAAGGAAAAGGACCTGGACGGGGCGGGGGAGAAGGAGGGGGGGAGCGCTCCCGGCACGCTCCCAGGCGCTCCTGGCACGCCCACAGGCGCTCGCAGTGCTCCCAGGCGCTCCCAGGAATCACCCGATAATCAAATCAGATACCGCTCCCGAGTAGGACCTCGGACAATCCGTCCTAAACCATGAAACGAACACAGCTGCGCAACTTCGGCGCCCTCTACCGGATAGATAGAATGTCGAAGCCGCCCAAACAAATTGTTAGAACTGCAAAATCGGCTGAGCCAGGCCGCGGAAGGTATGATCGCGTCCGTTTTCGACCTTTCGCCAACTAGCTCCACCCTGTCGCCGAATTCCTCTAGCTCTTCTACTATCAGAGCTCTACGAGGGACTAGAAGTGCAAGCAGACGCCTGAAAGAACTAAAAGTGCATTCTGGCGCCCAGGAGGCCCCAAAAAGGCCCCAAGAGGCCCCCAAGAGGCCCCCAAGACGCCCCAAGAGGCGCCCAAGAGGCCCAAAAGAGGCCCCAAGAGGCCCCAAAACGGCCCCCAAGAGGCCCCAAAACTCGGCTAGCCCACAACGGTGCGACAATATGGGCCGGCGGAATGAGCGAAGCGATTAAATAACATCCTACAAGAACATAAGGCCCTCCGCGGGGCAAAACACCCCAAACCATACGATCACTCGAGGGTGCCCTCCCCCAGGACGCACAAGAACGTCCAACAAGCACGAAGAACAGTAAGGTACCCTCTCCGAACCGACCTCGATCTTCTACCTCGCACTGACCGCACACGCAATACAATCACCCCGTACCATAAGGACGCACGTTCAGAATGCAAGCGCCTTGGAAGGCCACGTCGACACTCTGTGGACGGGGCGCGACCAACGAAAGTGGCCAAGGATGGGCCGAAGGGGGGAGATGTAAGGGTCGCCTTGGAAAGCTGCTCCTTTTTGCTATGCTAGCGGCCTCCTGGATGATGGGGTCCGAGTAGATCGGGTCAGAGGATCGCGTCGCATCGCCGATGCATCGGCGATGCATCGGCGATGCATCGGCGATGCATTGGCGATGCGTCGGCGGAATCGGCGACGCATCGGCGACGTCGGCATGGATGAAATCGGGCTTCCGCATCGCCGATGCATTGGCGATGCGGCGCGATCCTCCGGCCCCCTCTGCTCCGATCCCACCTGGGAGGCCTGGATCTGCGCGCTGACTGCACACGCACAAGATGTGCGCACACGCGCGCACTTTTGCATCGGCGGCTTGGCAGGATGACAGCGCTGGCGGACACACGCGCACACGCGCATTCCCTCCGATCCGTGCGGCGCAGAAATCGCGACGGCCAACGCCTGGGCGTTCTCGGCCCCTGGGGGCCGCCTCCCGGCCCCCGAGGCCCGTCAGAAAACATCCCAAACGGGGGGTGAGAAACCAGCCCTGGGGAGAGGGTATAGGTCGCCGAGGGCCCACTTCGCGTACAAAAACGCGGCGTCGGAGGAGAGGGCACGCTTCGGCGGC